AACAAGTATCGGCCTGTAAGTCAAGTAAAGAAGGTAGGGATGAGCAGGAGCTAGAGATCAACCCAGATTTTCCTATTCATCTATGAATTTCCTTGTTATTGTTCTATGTGTTTTAAGTCAACCTTAATGTACATTGTGGTTAGATTTCCTTTGCTGTGATCTGTGGGATAAATGTAATGTTGATGGTCTCCCTATAAGAAAGAGATGTCGTGGTCTGTTTTGCCAAGACCTCATTAGAGCATTTTATTTATTTATTAATTTTTTTTAACTTCTCAGGTCTCTTAATCTAAGAGACAGCATCTTAGGTGCTTACCAAAGCCAACTGAATACCTGGGTGTGGGTGGTTTTGAGAGGTGACATTTCTTGAGCACTTTGATGGTAAAATTTTGCCATTTTATTTCAAAAAGCAGTTTACAATTATTGTCTATCCTAAAACTTAGAACTGTTTCATCTCAAATACCATAGATTATGTGTTTGATATAAAAGTTAACTGAAAATTTTAAAAATCTCAGTAGAAATTTCTTATGCAAAAATCCAGTATAACCAAAAAAAAGACAAGTAATTTGCAGGTCCATTTATACTCCTCCAAAACATGGCAACTTTTTGCATGTGTTTATGTGTATGACATTTAGTAAATGTACTGGTGGATATACAGTGCCACAGGTAAACTTGCTTTCCCTCAGTAGTGCATGAAATCCAGCTTTTATTAATAACGCAAACTTTGTTTATGGATTGTTATATATTCAGATTGGTCTATTTTCTTTTATTGCATTTTCTCAAGGTATCTTTCCTGTGTCAAAGAACAATTATTTCAAAAATCCCTTCAACCAACAATTTGTTGACCCAGATTTTAAAGCAGGGAAGGACTAAGCTGACCTTGGAGTGATCTCTCAACTAGAATCTACCTGTGTGAGAGTCATAGAATCAGAAAATTGTACAGGCAGACACGGAAACTACATATCATAGATTATGTGTTCCTTGTCGTTTATAAGTTCTATGTTTCTGAATATATCATAAAATTAAATGAGTAATTGGTGATCGACATGATACCAGGTGTCTTAAAGGGAATTAATTGCATCCAGCAAAAATGAAGCAGAAACAAAGTTCAAAGATTAATCAATGTTTGAACCATGGATTTATTACCTTTTCTCAAAAAAATCAATGGACACTAAAAACATTTGGTGTGTGTAAATAATCTGAATTTTTATTTGTGCTCAAAAGAATTTGTTTTCCTGTTTTGTGGGTTGGGGCTTGCTTTTTCTAGTCTGACTTTTTAAAAATTCACCCTGTGGTGCCTCCAGAAAATAACATCTTTAAATCTTGTTTGAGTTAAATGAATAGATAACTAATTCCAATCAGATGTTTCTTTAGAGAATAATGTTTAAAAAACTATTATGGAATGCAGCTCTCCTAGTGACTCTCAGATATGCTGTTTTTATCCCAATTGTTAAGGTCTTAGAGGTCACCCAAGGTAACTATTTATTTTAAATTGTCTTTTGTTTCAGATTTCCTGTTGAATTTTTTTTAACCATTTCAAAAATCAGCCAGTTGTTGTACCATAGCTTTGCACAACCTTGAAATTCAAACTACAAATCTATCTGCATAGCTAAATGACTGTGCCCTCCCACATAAACCCTAAGGAGAGCAGAGAAGGAGATGAGGCACCACATGTGTTAATCATAATGAAACTAATATTTAAAGCTCTGTTGTCAAATGTCTTGTATTTATGACACTTTGTTTTCTTTTGTTTTTGTCTCCCCAGGACATTTGGGCTTCCAGGACAGTTTTGTCACATCAGGTGTTTTTAGTGTGACTGAGCTAGTAAGAGTGTCACAGAGTAAGTAGAATTTTGCTTTCATGTGGTACAGATTTGCCTTGGTTGGTGCTTGCTTTCTGCCTGGGACCCCTAGAGACCAAAAAAAAGCCTTCAGAGTCTCCTTTTCATTTACTCATTGGAGGAATTTTGACACACAGTTTGTTTGACAACCAAGAATTTAAATCAGGAAAAATTAAACATTATTTTGATGTGAGGCATAAAAGAAAGACGAAAATCCTGAGGGTCACATATATTCCAAGGCTTCCCTGATGTCTAAGAAATTCTGCATTTTAAAAGAATTTGTTTTTGACCTTTAAAAAATGCTAATGCCCTTGGTATGAGTGACACAGTCTGGGATGATCATTACCAGCTTGTCAATAATCACTAACAGTGAATGAAGAGTGCCTGTCACCATCTTTCTCCATTGATCAAAGGCCCATTCAATTGATTGTAGTTTTGTTATGACATAATCTAGCGCGCGCGCGCACACACACACACACACACACACACACACACACACACACACACACACAGTTGCCTTCCCTTAAGAATCTCTTTTTTCTTATTTAAAAGCGTAACTGGTTTTGATGTTCAATGATTATGATGTTCCAGGTCCCAGTAAGAAGGAAAAATAAATACCAAATATTGAAATTTTATTTTGTTTTACCCCTCCACCTACTTCAAAATGCCACTTGTAGGTAAAATTTACATGTTTAAAATTGGTTTTGAGCAGCATCAGCCCTTTGTGGAATGAGCTGGAGTAAGAAGAAATATTTTCATTTTAGGTTCATACCCCCCATTCTCTGTGTTACAGGCTTGCAAGATTGAGTAAGCCGGTCCATCTCAGGACACGACATCAGGTCAAACAAGCCATACTGGTCCCAAAAAGCCTGGATTCTCTCTGTTCTTATTTCAGTCACTTATAGGCTAGGAGAGTCTTGAGAGCATAGAATGTGATATACAATGTGGGAATAGGGGAGAATCTAATGACTACTAGTCATTTACTGTTTGCCAGGCACTGTCCTAGGCCCTAGTGTAAGATGCATAAATTAATCCTTGCAATAAGCTTTTCAGACAAGAAATTATCCCCATTTTTAAAGATGACTTAAATCGAGGGTCTATTTAAGTTATTTATCCAAAGTCAAACAGTGAGGCCAGGCACGGTGGCTCACGCCTGTAATCCCAGCACTGTGGGAGGCTGAGGCGGGCGGATCACTTGAGGTCAGGAGTTTGAGACAAGCCTGGCCAACATGGTGAAA